GAAAAAAAAAAAATGAGGGAGGTGCTGTCAGCCATCCAAACAGCTGAGCTTGAAAAGCCTTTCCAAGAATTGAATCACAGTTTTGACAAATGTATTCAGTGTAATGGAGGGTACTTTCAAGGTTGTTTTGTAAAAAAGAAAAATTAAATACATAGTTTTGGGGAAAAATTCTGGTTGGGGAGGGGAGTACCCCATCTATTCTCCCTTTTTGTCTTTCAAACTCTAAGTATTCCCATATTTCATCTTAATAGTCTACCTTGTCTTCGTAAGCTGCCCTTTGAAAGTTTCTATTCAGTTCTTTTACTCCATCATTTTTCCATTTGATTTGATTAATTCTACCTTCAGGAACAAGTTTCAGAGTTGGTTCTGATATCCACTTTGGTGTTTTCTTTCTTTCCTGTCTTTTAATGGCCTTTAGGGGTTTCTCATGTATGGTGTTCTTGTTATCATCAGATTGTGTTTTCAATACATTAAATATGTTCCTTAGATGTTCTCTAAATTCAGGTGGGATACACAACCAAAGCTGTATTTTGGCTCTTGTGGAATTGTTGTAATTTTCTTCAGCTTTAACATGAATCTGTATATGAGCAACTGATAGTCTGTTCCACAGTCAGTTGCTGGACTGGTCTGAGCTGCTGCTATTACGCTTCCCCATCATCTCTTCCCACAGATAGTCAATTTGATTCCGGTTTATTCCGTCTTGCAAGGTCTGTATGTATAGTCCCTGTTTATGTGGTTGACAAATTTGCAATGAAGAAATTGCTGGTCTTGAAATATTCTATCTTCCAATCTCCAGTTTTGTTTCTATCACTGAGGCCATGTTTTTCTCATTATTGATCCTTCCTCTGTTTCCAACTTTAGCACTTCCGTACCAGTAATTGTCAATACATGTAGATTGCATATTTGATCAAATTCAGACTGAACTGGTAGAACTCTTCCATTTCTTCATAACGAACTTTAGTGACTGGTACATCAATTTGAAAAACAGGTGTAATGACTGGTCTTCCTTGGAGGCCTATAGGTTTTATCCTAGGACTTCACAGTAGATCTTGAAATGTTCTTTTTTATGAGGGGTATGATGCCATTCCTCTTGAATATTATTCCTGTGGTACAGTTAAGCATTATTATCATATTCAAAAGACCCACTAAGTCACATTGAGCTTCCTCATGCCTAGGATATCAATTTTGATTCATTCCATTTCATTTGGGACACTTTCCCAGTTCCTAGATTCATATTTCATAGATTACATGTTCAAATTAATAGATGTTTGCAGCTGTTACTTCTCATGTTAAGTAATGGCCCATCAGCAAATGAAGATCCCAAAAGCTTTATTCCACCATGTCATTAAGTCAGCCTGTACTTGAGTAGGTAGCTCTTGCCCAGTGGTATTTTGAGTGCCTTCTAATCCGAAGGGATAATCTGCTGGCATTTTATCTCACAATGTTTACTACTATGTATGTTTCAATGGCAGTCCCTCAAAGTGGGAAGCCTGTTTCTTCTTTGTAGTCTTGAAGTGCCACTGAGACTGGTTTACCGGGGGTAACCTAGCTGATATTTGAAATGCCAGTGACATAGCTTCCACCATTAGAGAAATACGCACACGACCTCCATAAGACAGACAGACAATTAGTAATTGATAATAGGTAGCAGAATTGCTAGAGCAGATCCTCATATTTCATTCTAGGAGGTTTGTCAACCAAACGGAAGAGGGAAGGCAGAATCAATGATAGAAATAAAAGTTTTTGGTAAAAAGAAAGGTTTGTGCCTTACATTAAAATTGTAAAATGCTTTTATTGATAAGCATGTACACAGAAATGTGCACAGAAAATGTATAGTTCTAAGAATCATCCCAATGTGAACATTCCTATAAGCAACTATTACAAAAAATAGACAAAGTCAACACTTTAAACATTTCTCTACCTACCTCTACTGTTTTCTAACCTCCCAAAGTAAACATTAGACTGGCTTTTAAGGCAACAACTTCCTTGATTATTTAAAAGTCACTACTTAAGCTGACATCTCTATATGCTACAGCTTAATTTTGCCAGTTGGCCTTTTTCGTTCAATTTTCTGTTTGAGATATTTATCTATGTGGGTGCATGGAGCTGTGTCGTCTTTCATTTTCATTGTGTGAATACACCTCACTCTACTTAACCAATATACTATTGAGTTATTTTGTTTGCAGCTGTTTGCGGGTAGTTTTGAATTTTATTGCGATCAACATTTTTAAAAATATGTTCTTCATACACAAGTCCCCATATGCCCACTTGGTGGCTGGATCAAAAAATCAAAAGTTATTTTCAAAACTGGTACTATCACAGTATACCAAGGGACTTCCAAAAGTTAAAAAAATATATAATTCTATGTTTTTTAAAGTCCATTTTTCCATGAACCCTTTGAAGTCCCCTGATACTCTTGTTAGCAGTAAATGAGGACTCCGATTGGCTTGCTTCCTGGATACCTGTATTGAGTCTTAAATTCAAAGTGTGTTAAAATGGTGGTTCAAATTCACTTTCTAGGAAACAAAGGAGGTTCAACAATTTTCTTCAATTTTGTTGGCCATGTATCAGCTGCTGTTGGATTCCCACTCATGGTAACCTTAAGTGTTTCAGAGGGGAATTGCTCTACAGGCTTTTTGTGTCTCTGCCCTTCCAAAACCAGTTTATCAAGTCTTTTTCCCAGGAGCCTCCTGGCAGGTTCGCAGTCCAACACTGAAGTGTAGGAAAGCTCATCCATTTTTCCTGTGAGTGGTCAGTCTTTTACATATTCTATATTTCTACCTTAATTCTATGCCCAATAACATCTTTCAATCTTTGGTTTATCTTTCATTCTCTTTAATGCTATCTTTGGGAGGCCATAGTTTTCTCATTATTAATTTTAATTTGGTTAAATTTGTTTTGTTTTACCTTTTTTAGTCTAGTTAAATATGTCATCATTTACATATTTTGTTAAAATAATTATACGATGTTTCACAATTAAATCAATGATTCCTCTTTGGGATCTGTTTGGAAGATATAGTTTGAGGTCAAGATCAAGTTTGGGGTTTGTTTGGGTCTTTTAATTTGTATTTTTGGCACTGTCGGTGCATGTTGGGTTTTTCAGCAGTTCCAGTCAACACACCACCCCGCCCCCCTCAGCTGCTTCAAAGGAGAAAGATGAGGCTACCTGCTCCCATAAAGACTTATTGCTTTGGGGAGCCTATATGAAGTCGCTAGGAGTCAGAACTGCCTGTATAGCACGGGATTTGCACATCACATTCACTAAGTATTATGTATTGCCCTCTGTTCAGGAGGGTCATCTTCATTGAAAATTAAATGCCCGCTACAGCAGAAGTCGAGTTCTTGAATTCTTTCTGCTTCTTTTGTCTATCCTTTCTTATTACACAAGACAAGCGACAGGAATATAGCATGGCAGGGGCCCCCCCTGCTTAGTTTGATCTTTAAGCAGCATACTCTTATAATAAGTCTCCACACTTGCTAAATCCCACTTCATTACTCTTCATGAGCTCTTCAAACCTATCCTGGATATTTTTGGTCCTTTGCATTTCCATATCAATTTTAAAGTGAATTTACCATGGTCCTAAAACTAAGCCAATAAACAAAAAAATCTTGGGATTTCTAATGAATATACATTGACTCTAGAGATTGGGAGAAAACTCACATTTGAATAATACTGAGTCTTCCAATTCATAAAAATGATACAAAATTCCATGTCATTAGATCTTTCTTTCATTTCATTACAATCTTTGTTCTAATTTATTCCTAGTTATTTGATGTAAGACTATCAGAGGTTCAAACCTATCAGCCGCTCAATGGGAAGAAGTAGAGGTTTTTATCAAGATTAAGAGCCTGGAACACCAAATGATTCCAGCTTGCTGTTGGTGCTATGAGTGCTTTCTGATTGGAGCAACCTGTGGACAACAGAACAAACACGGTCTGGTCCCGTGACAGCCTCACACCTGTTCTGTTTGAGCTCGTTTTCTGCAACCACTGTGTCAACTCATCTTCTTCAGGGCCTTTCTCATGTTCGACTGCTCCTCCATTTCACCAAGCATTGGCTTCTGTGCCCTGTTAACTTATTTTAATAGCGTATCCTTAATTTAAAAAAAGTATCTACATATACTATCTATGAAACAAATACTGTCTTCCTTCCTAATTCGTATCTCCTTGATTTATTGACAAGCACTAACTCCAACAATAATGCACATCTTCACACTGTGTACTTCCAGTTGTAAATTACATGATGCTAGTAAATCTAATTTCCAATTCAATTCGGGAAGACCTGGTGGCATATTGGTTTAAGAGTTGATTAGATTAACTGTAAGGTCTGTAGTTCGAATCCACCTGCAGCTCCACGGGAGAAAGGCGAGGCTTTGAGCTTCTGTAAGGGTTTACAGCCTAGGAAACTCACAGGGGCAAATGTACCACGGGTGCCCCAAGAATCAGAATCCACTGGATGGCAGAGAGCGGTGAATTCGATCATTTTTCCACCTCAGTGTGCTCTCACCATCAAAGGTGCTCTCAAGACCATAAGGCCCTCCCACTCCCAAAGCCAACAGCAATAACAACTCAAACATATTGTCCCCTAATCATTTTCCTTGCGAATCCATAGGAGTAGAACTGTCCCATAGTTTCTAAGGCTGTAAATCTGTTGGGGAAACAGATTGCCAGACCTTTCTACCTCAAAACGGTAGCGCGCTTTAATCCCTGAGCCACCAGAGTTTCGCTGGCCAGACTCCCAATTCCTACAAATCCTTGCTGCCCAGGGCTCACAGCTGAGCCCGACCCGCCCGCCGGCAGCGGAAGCGCGCAACTCCGGAACCCGGCACGCCCCGCCCTCGCCGCAGCGCAGCCAATCAGCAGCTCCCTCGAGCGCGGGGCGTGGCCGGCCAAGATGGCGGCGGCCGTTGGCGCGTAATTCCCTTCGCGGCGTTGCCGCGGTTCTTCGCCTGTGGCAAACGATGCAAGGAGAAGCGGCCGGCGGAGGGGGGCCGTAGGCGATGAGTCGGCGAAGGAAACGTGGGGACGGCCTGGGCCCGAAGGAAGAGTGCAGCTCGGCGGGGGCCGGGTCAGGGAAGCGGCGGCCGGGGTCGGCCCGCGGCTCGAGGCTCTGCCGGGTGGAAGAAGGGCCTGCGCCGCCCGGGCAGCGGCACGAGCGGCCTCCGGCAGCCGCCTCATGCCCTAAAAGTAACCCTGAGGGTGAGACGTCGGCCCCGCGGCCCAGCTCGCTCCGGGGAAACGTGGGGTGCGGGTGGGTGTGGAGCCTCAGGTGTTTTCTTTTCCCAGACTTGCCTGCCCCTCCCCCGAAAGGTCGAACAGCACCCACGGCCACTGCCCACACCTTTAGCCCCCGAGTCGGCCCGCGGTCGCCTGCGGGCTCATTGCCCACTACCATGTCCCCTCCCGCAGCCCTGAGGTCTACCTGTGTCGGGAGCGCCGGGACTTTGTAGGCCCTCCTTTTGAGCATGCGCATGGGTGCGTGAGCGGCCCTCGGCCCGCGGCTCCCCACTCCCCGCAGGGAATTCATTCTCTCCAAGCTGGTTTTCCCGACTTGCCTTCGCTTAGAACCCGGGCCCCCCGGGGAAAAAAAATAGTGATCATTCTTTCCTCTCTGTCTTGGTCTTGTCACACCTCTTTCTGAGCCGGAAATACCTGTGTTGACTCTCCCCTGGGAGGAAATTAAGGCCCCACCAATTTGGTTCCGGTCCACGTTCCATGTTTAAAAGCTTGTCCTTAGCCCTGGCTGGCACCGGAACGCACACAGAAGTTGTTTTCTGGGGCGACTTCTTAAAATGTGGCTTTTGCTACCACGTGTCTTTAATGCAGCTCCTGAAGGAACCCAAACAATTTTAGGTCGAGATGCAAAAGGGATAGTAGAAAAAGCTTCCCAAGCAATGAGTCACTAGTAAGTTTTGAAATGATTAGTATCAGTTCAGTCGGGGAAAGGGCTAAATAGACGTTCTGCGTAGTTTTCAGTGGTTGACATTTGACTTTTGCCTTACAAGTGACTCCCCAAAGTCTGCCAGACGTAGTAATAGTGAATGCAGTAGCTGGGTTATACCTGATTATCGATTCATAGCTATTTTCTGAAAATACTGGAAGTATTCATCCTTTAAAACCAAATGATGCACAGATTTTTATGTGACACATTTCTCGAAAGAAAATTTGATACTAGATTATACAAAGTAGTCCAGTCTAAGCTATTATTATTTGACTCGGGGGCTTTATGAACTGAAACGATAATTTCAAATGCAGTAATTATTTGAATCACTTTTTTTTTTTACATAGAGAAGTATGAAACACCAAAGAGAATGCAGAAAATGGATTTATTGCCATCCACCTTCAGTTCTCCTAATGATCCTGATGGCCTGAGTGATATCTTTTGGGATCAGAATTCTCCAATGACAAAGCAGTTAGGTAATTTGCTATTAAGGTTTTTACAAGGGTAACTATGTGACAAAGGATTAGGAATTAACCAAATTTTTAGTTGGCTAAAAGCATCTGGAACTTTGATACAGCAGATATATTTTGAGAATTTTAGTTTTTTATCAATATGATACTTGTAAAGAACCCAGGTGACCTAGTGGGTTATGTGTTGGGTTGCTAACTACAAGGTGGATAGTTCAAATCAACCTGCTGCCCCGCAGGAAAAAGATTGGGTAATCTCTTCCTATAAAAATTTATACAGTCTTGGAAGCCCTAAGGAGCAGTTCTCCTCTGTACTTTAGGATCTCTGAATTAACATTGACTGGCAGTGGGTTTCTGATTTATGATATTCCTATGATGTCACAAGTATGTAGTGATCTAACTAATCATGCTGATTAAAATCATGACAGCTAGTGTTTTTAAATGAAAGCTTTTGTTTACAATGTATAGACATGTCTTTGTTTTTTTAGGTAAAGGAAGAAAAAAACAGATATACACCACAGATAGTGATGAGATTTCGCATATTGTGAATTGTATAGCTCCTCAGGTAAATATAATTCGATTTTTTTTCTTCTATTTTTTTTAATAATCATTTTATTAGGGGCTCATACAACTCATCACAATCCATACATACATCATTTGTGTCCAGCACATTAGTACACCTTGAGTCTATTCTTGTGTGTGGTGTGAGGTAAGGGTCTTGCTTAATTTTTCTGCAGTTATGTATCCATTTTTTCTAGCACCATGAATTGAAGAGGGCATCTGCTTCCCATTTGATATTTTTGGGCCCCTTGTCAAAATCAGTTGTGTATATGCCGGTGATTTTATTTCTGGGTTTTCAATCCTTTTCTATTGGTCTGAATATCTATCGTTATACCAGTACCACGCTGTTTTGACCACTGTGGCTGTATAATAGGTGCTAGAGTCGGTTAAAGCAAGTCCTCCTACTTTGTCCTTCCTCTTGAGGAGTTCTCTACTAATTCTTGGTTTCTTCCAACACCATATGAAGTTGGTCATCTGTTTTTCCAACTCTTTGAAGAAAGTTGCTAGAAATTGGATTGGGATAGCATTGAACTTATATAGTGCCTTTGGTAGAATTGACATCTTTACAATACTGAGTCTGCCAATCCACGAGCATGGGATCTTCTTCCATTTGTTGAGGTCACCCTTGATTTCTTTCAATAGTGTTTTGTAGTTTTCCTCATACAGATCTTTTGTTTTTTGAGTCAGGTATATATCCCTAAATATTTCTATTTGTGTTTGGCTATTGTGAAGGGTACCCCCTATTTGATCCCCTCTTCTGTGTCCTTGTCTGATGTGTACTGTAGTAGTGCGATAGACTTCTGTTTGTTGATCTTGTAACCTGCCACTCTGCCATATTCCTCTATTGCCTCCAGTACTCCTCTTGTGGAACTTATAGGATTTTCCATATATAAAATCATATCATCTGCGAATAACAATAGTTTCACTTCTTCCTTTCCCAGGCGAATCCCTTTTATGTCCTTTCTTTGCCTTGTATTGTTAGCTAGGACCTCCATCATGATGTTAAATAGGAGTGGGGACAAGGGACATCCTTGTCTAGTCCCCTTTTTCAGAAGAATTGATCTCGTCTTTTCTCCATTGACTACCACATTGGCTGTTGGTTTTTCATATATAGCTTGTATTTTATTGAGGAACTTTCCTTCTTGAGTGTCTTAAACATGAATTGGTGTTGGATGTTGTCGAATGCTTTTACTGCATCTATTGATATTATCATGTGGTTTTTACATTTCTTCATTTCAATGTGACGAATAATACGGTCTTTCGTATGTTGAACCATCCTTGCATCCCTGGTATGAATCCCACTTGGTCATGGTGAGTTATTTGTTTTATATATTTTTGTATTCTCTTGACTAGTATTTTGTTAAGGATTTTTACATCGATATGCATTAGGGAAATTGGTCTGTAGTTCTCAATTCTTGTGGGATCCTTGCCTGGTTTAGATATCAGAGTTATACTAGCTTCATAGAAGGAATTTTGGAGTTTGACATCTTTTTCTATGTTCTGCAAGAGTTTGTGTAGGATTGGTGTCAGTTCTTCCTGAATGCTTGATAAAATTCACCCGTGAATCCATCTGGTCCTGGAGCCTTCTTGGTTTTTAATTCATTGATAGGCTTATCTATTTCTTCTACTGAAAAGGGTCTGTTGAGGTTTTTGATGGCCATTGGGGATAATCTGGAGAGGGATTGTTTTTCCAAGAATTCATCCATGGCTTCCAAGTTTTTTAATTCATTGGAGTACAGCCCTTCATAGTACTCTCTTTGGGAGGTTGGTGCTTCAGCTGGCTGCCTTTAGCCAACTGCCTTGAGGGGTTGTGTTTCACCTTTGTCCTGCTGGGGGATTCCCTCTCGCTTTCTATGGTTTGTGCTCTAGCCACCTTCAGGGCTCCTTAGGGGCTGTTTGCAGCTGTGCTCTGATAGAAAGTATTGGCCCCAGTGCAGGGAGCATATTTAGGGGATGTGTTGTGGATTGGGTGATCTTTTTCTGGCTAGGGGCACTTCCCTCAGGCAGGTGGGAGGGGGGCCGTAACTGGTGTGCAGATGCACCGATTGGAGCCCAAAGGGTGGGACAGAGTGAGCAGGGAGAAGGGAGCATGCAGTGAGAAAGCGCCCAAAGCTTGGGTTCCTATGCCGCAGCTGCAGAGTTCTGTCAGACTTGTGCCCTCTACCTGGCAAGCCTGAAGCGGTATGGCAGGATGGGGATCTCTGAGTGTGTGTGTGTGTGTGTGTGTGTGTGTGTGTGTGTGTGTGTGTGTGGGAGTGCACGGGTGTGAACGTGTATAGGGAGGTGGGTGGGGGGGTGGCCCAGGGAGGGGGCTGGCTGGCAGATCTGCAAGGAGTGCAGTGATGGAGCGCGCTCCTCTGGGCTGCGACCTCTGAGCGTGTGGGCAGGTCTTATTGGCGGTTTGCACGGAGCCCAGAGGCATGACCTCTGCCTGGCTGTGGTGCCTGGAGTGCGCCTGGCCTGCTGGACTGAATGGGGCCCGAATCTGCAGGGGTTGGGGGGGGGTGGGGTATGCTGGTTGGAACTACACTACACTACACTATCCGAGAGATCCTCTGAGTGGTCTTGGGAATCGAACAGACGAATTTGGTACCCCTACTCCACCCCCAACTCTCCCCACTCATCGATCTCCTCAGAGCTCCAACCGTGAGCTACCGGTCTGGTGGCCATCTTCCCAGGATCTCTATAATTAGGTTTATTGTTTCTAAGAAACAGTTTAAAGTATGCTACAAGGCCTTGTGTTGCTCATCTAAGTGAAAAATAACATTTTACTGTTTATCACTTTCTAAAAATTAGGCAGTAAAGATTACTTTTACCTTTGCTACTTCTGAAATGCATGTTTTAGAAAAAGAGCATAATATAGATCATAAAATTAGTAAAATACATTTTCCTAAGTACATATGTTGGTTTAACTTTTTGAGTGCATTTGACTTTGGTTTGTGTTTATTTTGTTGTTAATACATATGTATTAACTGTTCAGGTTACTGAAACAATAGGAAAAGACCGTTAATTAAATAGCTATTTTTTTGTTAAAATTTGCTTACTATGTATTTTACCTTTTCTATATTTAAGTGGTTTTTACTAATACTCATGGATTTATAAGATGATCAGGAAACACTTGTAAACATGGGAAGAACACTGGATATAGAGTTATTTCTGAATTTCTCCTTTGTTGGAGGACCTTTGTCAAGTCACATGAATGTTCAGAATCTCAATTCACTCAGGTATATATTAAAATTATTACCTATCTTGCTTTCCAATGTATTATGAGGATTAAAGCTGCAGTCTATGTTAAAATCAAGCAACTACCACAGTCAAAACAAATCTGTTGCTACTAGCTCTACATTCCATGTTCAGCATGTCATAGACACTCATTTTACATAGGGTTCATTAGTTAAATAGCATTTATGCCATAATACTACTTACGTTATAACTTAACAATAGATCTTCATTAATTGTGGGTTTCACATGAAAGAAGCAAATAAAATGTGTTTGGGCTGGCCAGCCTAAATAGTGATAGAAAGATAATGGAGTAAATTATTGGATCCTGTACATATATAGCCTGGAAATAATAACTCATATAAGAAATAGGAACAGTATGCGAGTGGTGGCTTGTACAAAACAAAAAATAAAGTGAAATTAGTTTGCTTTTCAGTGTTACCCTCTTCAGCTAAACGCTTGTAAAAGAGCTGAATTGTTTGGCAGTGTCAAGGTTTGTTTAAAAGCTTGTGATGTTCTCAAACTTGTTCTCAACATGAAATAGCTATTCTGTTTATTTTTAGGTGAGCTACTTTCTTTGTATTGTTATTTAATATTTTCAGAGGCGGTATATCTTTTTTAAATCGACACTTCCATTTTAATTGATAGCCACTTCACTTTTCTCAGTGACTGCTTATACAGTGTTGCTTGAATCTGATATCTTTGTATCACGTGTCTAAGACTTTGTGCCATATATACTTACGAATAAATGAAGCAGCACCTGGATTATAGTGGCAGATAAAGTTATGTAGTTTTTAATAGTGACATATAAGAAACAGGAACACTTGTAAATAAACAGCATGTGTACATACAGTGCATGTATGTATACAATTGGACATTACAAAACTATTGTGTTCTCTGAAAATTAAATAAATTAAAAATTCCTTGCTAAATGGCCAAGAGTTTATAATTAAATCACTAAGTATGTCATTTTCTTTAATTTCAAAATTGTGTTGAAACAGAAAGGGGAAAATATTACAAAGAACCTGAGAGGAAAATGACTCTCCATGAGTTTTTCACAAGGAGCACTGGAAGTGCTTTGGGCTAAGCATTGGTCTGCTAGCCAGGAGTTGTCAGTTTAAACCCACCAGCCGCTCTGCAGAAGGAAGATGAAGTTTCATCTTTTGTAAAGATGTAGTCTCAGAAACCCTTAGGAGTGGTTCTTCTCTTATGGGATAAAGGATCGGCATGAGTCAGAATCAACGCAGTGACAGTGGGTTTAAGTATTAACCAAGCTAACTAGGTACAACTTGGCATCGAGTACACTGGTGAATTGGCTGAAGATTTGAAGGTACTGAGTTGTAGGGTTCTTTTCACCTAAGTAAACTGATATTTTTGTTATTTTCTTACTGCACTAAATGCTGAGATATTTTAGGAATCCTTGCCTTCAAGTAATGGCGCCCTTTGGGTGAGTGGATTATATGTTGGACTGCTAACTGCAAGATCAAGGACTCAAACCCACCAGCTGCTGTGTAGGAGAAAGATGAGGTCATCTGCTGCCATGAAGATTTCCAGCCTCAGAAACCGTAGGGAGCAGTTATACTCTGTCCTATATGGGAACTATGCGTTAGAATTGACTCCCTTCCAGTCGCTTAGGCATTGGGCCCCTAACCTCAAGGTCAGCAGTTTGAAATCACCAGCGCCCCTGTGGGAGAAAGATGAGGCTGTCTACTCCTCTAAAGATTTAGTCTCAAAAGCCCACAGGGGCGGCTATTCTTTGCTTTACAGGGTCAGTGGGTCAGAATTGACTAGATGGCAGTGGGTTCGAATTTAAGAGCCTTCATATAAACAGCTTTGTGGTACAATGGGTTAAGGGTAAGGCTGCTGACTGACAGAAGAAAGATGTGGAACCTGCTGTAAAGATTTATAGCCTCTGAAGCCCTAGGGCACAGTTCTCTGTCTTACAGCTTCCATAAGTTGGAATAAACTCAATGGCAGAGGTTGGGTTTTGTTTGTTTTTAGTTTATTTGAGGTTGTGGTGGTGTCTGATTTTGCATTCAAGTAACCTATAGTGTAGGGATTAGGTTATTCATGTTTTGTGTAGTCTCTTCATTGTAGTTAACTAAGAAATAGTGTCTCCTATATGATTGGTTAGGCTGGTTTTTGTCAAGCTCAGTCTCTGATTTGTAGCATGGGCAAGTAAGCAGCAGAGCAAACTCAAACCCTCCTAGCCCTGCGGTGGCCTTTGTTTTGCTTGAACCTCTCCTGATTGAACTTGTTCTTCTGCTTTCTCCACTTATTTTTGTTCTTATCCCTATTTAATTCTTAGCATCTTTTTTTCCCCATGTTACAAAGTAAGCAGTTCCAGTTTTCTGGTTTTTATCTCTTCTCTATAATGTTTGTTTATTTGAGGTCATTTTATTGGGGACTCCTACAGCTCTTATAAGAATCTACATCAGATGTATCAACCATATTTGTAGATATGTTGCCATCATTATTTTTTAAACATTTACATTCTATTGAGCCCTTAGTATCAGCTCCTCTTTTTTCCCTCCCCCTCACCCTGGTGACCCCTTGATAAATTATAAACTATTATTTTATTTTCATATCTTACCCTGACCACTGTCTCCCTTTCCCCGTGGTTTCTGTTGTTCCTTCCCCTGGGGGTCGGCGTCTAGGTGGTTATGTATCCATCACTGCAAACATTTCCCTCTTCCTCCCCACCTTCCCCCTACCCTCCTGGTATAGCTACTCCCATTCCTGTTCCTGGTTTCCATGTGTCTTGAGCTCTTATCTCTATTATTTTTTTAAAAAGCACTTTATTGGGGGTTCATACAACTCTTATCACAATCCATACATCTATCCATTGTGCCAAGCACATTTGTACATTTGTTGCCATCATCATTCTCAAAACATGTTATTTCTACTTGAGCCTTTGGTATCAGATCCTCATTGTTTTCCCCTCCCTCCCTCATGAACCTTTGATAATTTAGAAATTATTATTTTTTCATGTCTTACACTGTGTGATGTCTCCCTTCACCCACTTTTCTTTTACCTCTTATCTATAACTATGTGCATGCTCCTGCTCCGGTCTAGTCCAAAGAGAAAGGCAGGACTGGGGTCATGATAATGTGGGTAGGGAAGCCTCAAGGAACCAGAGGAATAATTGTGTGTTGCTTCGGCACTGTACTACTCCCTGGTTGATTCATCCCTTCCAGTGACCCTTCTGTGAGGGGATGTCTCATTGTCTACAGATGGGTTTGGGGTCTCTTCTCCGATCCACCTCTTTCTCAACAATATGGGGTTTTGTTTGTTTGGGGTCTTTTGATACCTGTTACCCGATCTCATCGACACCTCATGATCGCACAGGCCGGTGTGCTTCTTCCGCGTGGGCTCGTTGCTTCTCTGCTACATGGTTGCTTGTTTAACTTCAAGCCTTTAAGACCCCAGATGCTATATATTTTGATAGCCGGGCACCATCCTTAGCATCAATTCTAACTCCTCATTCTTCTAACTCCTGACTTTAATTCCATGTAAGAGTTCTCAGTTCAGGTCAACAAGGATTGCTTACTGTAGATGGAGATTATAATGGGAAAAGAAAAAACGTGGGGGGTCAGATGATACAGATAATGTTCTACATGTATCCTTTTATTCTCAATTTGAATGAGTTATGAGTTAGTTTATTTATGAGACTAATGTTTATTTTCATGAAAATATTACAAAAATTGAAATAAATTAATCTGGGTGGTTTTTTTTGATAATGCATGTGCTTCTATTAAATATGTATTACATAAAGTTTAAATGTCTTTTAAAATAAGGAATGTTTAACTGAAGGTTTTTATACTTGCATAAATGATTTACTTCATGCAACTTCTTATTGCTATATCCCAATTTCTCTCTTTTTTTTCCTTTGTAGTTTATTTGGTGGCTAACTCTATCATAATTTATTGCTGTAGGACAATTTGAAAGTGGTTAAAATTTCTCTTTTTGGGGGGTGCTTTTGCACCTCTGTTTTTCCCATTTGCTACAGGATGAAAAACCTGTAACAGACTCTATGCTGGGTGTGTGGATTGGTGAAACTGCTATTCCTTGTACCCCAAGTGTAGCAAAAGGGAAATCGAGAGCAAAATACAGCTGCACTAAGTGAGTTCAAGCTTTTCTGAGATTCAATGAAGCAAGTATTTTTAATTAGCGGTCTATTTTGGTTTCTATAAATTTATTAAAATGACTAGTAAATTCCCTTTAGTTCTGACATGTTTTAGTATATCAAAATAGGTTAAGCAGAAGTTGAATATTTGTAATGATTTTTAAAAACATTTCTCAGTTACATCTTTTTTAAACATTTAATAGGTCAAAAACACAAAATCACGAAGAAGAACTTATGAAGTTGGCAAAAGAATTTGATAAAAATATGGAAGAACTAGATGTGATTCAAGAGCAAAATGAAAGGAATTGTGATTTTACCCAGATGATTTCAGAGACTTCAAATGATTATAAAGATAATGTACCAATACCATCATTATGTCATATACTTCCTGAAATAGATTCCGCTGTAATAGAAAAGCCAGTGAAGGAATTCACCCAAAAATCGAAGGAATACAATCAAAATAGCAGTCACAAGTTATTTGACCAAAATATTGAAGCAGCCTTGAATGCCATTTTTGATGGTTCCACTCAGAAATGTAGCGGGCAATTAAGTCAGGATCGGTCAGATGCTGTTTTGAGCATCACTAACACAACTTTTGGAAAGAAAAGTACCCTTAAAGAGGAGACAGTCATTACCAGTGAAACTGTGAACGCTGTACAACTGCAAAAGAAAACCTATGGGTCACTCTCTTTTGGAGCAGACACTCCCATAATGACAAAATCATGTGTGACTCCCTGCTCGAAAGAAATGGAAACGTTCAATAAGCTCCTTGATCCATTTGCTACCAGTGGTATGGAGGAGGACTGGGAAAACTTCCTCAGAAATGAACCCTTTGTGATGCCAACTGTGGAAACGCCAGAATTACTCCCCGTGCCTAATACTGCTCATGATGCTGCTCATAAAGATATTTATACTTTTAACTCTAAGAATCATAAAAGGAACTCAAGAACAGATACGTGTCTAGATGTCAGGCTAAGTAATTCAAACAGTTTACAAGGTCTTCCTTCAAAGATAACCAACCGAAAATTCATAGATGATGAAAACCCAAAAAAAATGCCATCTCCAAATGAGAAACCAAAGCAATTATCTACTGGAAATAAAGTGAAATTGGAGAGAGCATGCAATAAAATGACTATTGGAGATAAAATTCAAGGTTGTGCACTTGCCTCCTCAAGTGTTACAAAAATAAAGGAAGGCATTTATACTAAAGTTACTCCTGTAAATGCTTCTGGAAAAAAGGCTGCTTTGAACACAGGATATTTTAATGAACAAAAAAGTAAGCCAATTTCCAGTCAGTCTTTTAAGACATCTGCTAATCCAGATCTCTATGGACCTGTAACTTCAGCCAGCGAAACCAAATCCGACAGTAAGCTCAATCAGACAAATGCACCAAATTTAACTTCTTTCCTGGATGATTGGAACGATCCATCATTTGCCAATGAAATTATTAAATCATGCCATATATTAGAGAATACCTGGGAAACAGATGATGTAGATGATGATTTGTTGTATCAAGCATGTGATGATATTGAAAGACTATCCCAGCAACAAGACATTGGAAATGAAAGCAAATCAGAAAATACAACTGAGATGAATGAAAGTTCCAAATATGGAGCTAAAAACACATTTACTCCATCTAAGGGAAGCCATTTTGTGCAATCAAAGCATTGGAATCTGGACAGTGTTACAGTGCAAACATCATCCTCAGGAAATAGCTCACAAATGGATAAATCGATGAAGATGGAGAAAGGAGAAAGTTGTAGAAGTTCTCCAAGTAATTTAAGTGCTACAACAAAACTGGCTATGTACTCTAAGAACTCAGATGATGAGATCAAGAGCCCGCATGTCCATTGGAATAACACTGATATTCCAGTGAGAGTGAATCGCTCTACATTCGCTCTTGCAGGAAGTTCACATTTGAATGTGAGTTCCAGTCATATAAGTACAGGAATTCCTACTACTAATAAATTGATTTCTCACAGGACAGTAAAAAATGAAACACTGACTGATCATAACAAAACAACTAAATTTTCAAAGTATACATTCACTAAGTTGAAACGTTCTCAGACTCATTCTCAATTTAATAAAAATTGTACAGTACGAAGTACGTCTGATACCAAAATTATACAGAGTTTAGAGGAAAATAAAACACCACCCATCAACCCATTACATGAGGTTATTCAACAGCAGTCTTTCACAAAATTTTCTGAATCTGGAAAACAACCTTCAAAAGGTATGTATGAAATTGTTTTGTTTTAAAAGAATCATTTTTGAAATATTGGTTATTTTGAGTTTGAGTAAAGTAAAAGATAACGAACATTTTCAGTCTTTTCCTGCACTTAATGCAATGAGTGGTAAGTAGTAGGCATTCAATAAGTTCTGTTGATTGGCTTAGAATTACTTACTGAAAGGTTATACTTCTAGGTATATTTATGGCTGTCGTATTTTTAATGCTTTGTTTATTAAGCACCTCATTGCTTTAAGCCTTTACTTTTCTAATACCTACTTTTAGTAGAGAATCAAAATGAACAGTATTTGAAAATTTGTGGGCATAGGACATGATATAAAACTCAGTGTTACTTGAGATAAGAGTCTATCACAATAGACCTGGCAGTGTAGTGGTTATGCTTTGGGCTGCGGTCCTCATGGTACACGGTTTAAAACCACCAGCAGCTCCACGGGAGAAAGACTGGGCTCTTTACTCCCATCGACAGTTACCGTCTCAGAAACCCACAGAGGTTGTGAGTCAGCATTGACGCGATGGCAATGAGTTTGAGTTTGTAATCTATCGTCACTAATGTCTTCTCATTCCTCTCTCCCTCCCCAGTTCTGTATTAGGTCATGCATTCCAATGTCTGTCACTCAACATCTATCGTTCCACTACATCCGCTTCACTGTCTATTGTTGCCTCCCTTGTGTAAGCCAACATTTCTCCACTAAACAGTGGTTCTTTCACTTGTCCCTTTCGCTTCTGTTCTCACTGCAGGGTCAACTTTTAAAACAGGCAGGCAAACCGGGCCTTCCTCTGCTTACAACAGCCATGATAGGTCGCCTTTCTATTACATTTCAAATAAAGTATGGACATTCATGGTTCTACCCCCTGACCTGCCTGTCGTATTTCCTTCTAATTTTCCCTTTACCCACCTAAACCTCACCTACATCAACTGTCTTCCAACTCTTCCAAAAGAACTTAGACCATACCATTCTTCCCCAGCCCGGGATTCTTCCCTCCCCATTTTGTTCGGTGTGGCGTTCTTATCTTACTCTTTAGTCTCAGTTTCCATATTTCCATCTCACCAAGACCTTCCTTGACCAATGTTGCGATTAAATATCTATTTAATAATTTGTTATATGTCAATGCATACCTAGGCCTACTACAGCATCTGGCACTTAAATGATGCCAAATAAATATTTAAATGAGCATCATGTAATATGCAGAGAGTCTGTTATCCACTCACTGGTACTGTGACTTTTTTAAGGAAATAATATAGTTGGCATAATGACTTGTACACTTCTAGCCCAGTGCTTTCTCATAATCTGATGTCTTTGTCGATGCCACTGCTTTCCCCAGAAACTTGGTTCCCCTGCATGCATACCCCATTTGCTCTTTACGATCCAGCATGTTTCTAACTACTCAGAATGATTCAGACTCACTCACTCTGGATTTCTCCAATATCAAGTGCTTATTTTTGTTACAGCATGTACTATATAAGCTTGTAAAAAATCAAATTTCCTTTGAGGCTAAGGATTGCACTCATGTATTACTACGGCCCACAGGCCACATGTGGCCTGCCGAGGACATTTATCTGGCCCGCCGAGGTTTTTCCCCCTTTTGTTTTTTCATTTCAAAATAAGATATGTACAGTGTGCATAGGAATTTGTTCATAGCTTTTTTAAAATTATAGTCCAGCCCTCCAGCGGGTCTGAGGGACAATGAACTGGCCCCCTGTTTAAAAAGTTTGAGGACATCATAGCATGGGGTTTTCAGTTTTAACATTAGATTATTATAATTTAGAGTTGAGATGATATTTTTGTTGACATTACTGCTGCCACTTTCTTATTTAATTGAGCTTTTACAAAATCTATATGCTAGTTGTTACAATAATTGGAAGAAAAAAGTTAAATCTTCTATTTCTCCTCTCCTAGAATGATTTTTCAAGGGAAGTCACAGTGAAAAGTTTGATGTAGCATTTTAGTATTTTCCATGCCTATAAAAAATGTCTCTATAGATTTATTTAAATATATGGAATTATATACTATATACTGACAATTTTCACTTGTTTTTACATAATATAACTTTTTCATGTTGGTATATATAGATTCGTTTCTTCAGTCATCTTATTGAGGTTACTTGTAGGTCATTAAATGGAGGTGCCATAATTTAACTATTTCCCACTGATGAATGTTTAGGTTATTTGTAGTTTTTAGCAATCACAAATAATAAGTATCCTTCTGCAATTGTATTTATTTGCTTATTTGTAGTTAATATCAGAGAATGTTCCTAATTTTAAAGGCAATCAAGAAATTGCCTTCCAAAATAGTTGCAATTTAAAAAAAAGTTATATTGCAACAAACACAGAAAATATTTACTTACATCGTAGCCCATATTAGATACTTTGAAGCTTTAAAACTTGCCAACCTAGTAAGAGTTGTACATATTGAAATGAGTATATTGTAGCTAATTGAACCTGCTCCCATTTCAGTCCAGACTAAATGGCTCTGGAGTATTCGAATTTTCCTCAAATGCCAATTTACTGTCATCTTGCTTCATTTAGATTTTGAGATTAGAAAATGTGAGGCCTATTAATTTGCTTGCCCTATCTATGGTTTCTTTCATTTCCATAGAAAGTTGGTAATTAGTGTTTTCATCTCTTTAAAAAAATGATACTGGGATTGAATCAGGATTGCATAGTATCTGTAGATTGCTTTGGGTAGTATTTGGCTTATCCATAAGCATGCAATATGTAGACTTCCATTTGTGTGAGGTTCTTTTGATTTCTTGTAGTAATGTTTTTTAGTTTTCTTTGTATCCGTGTTTTGTGTCTCTGGCTATCTGTATTCCAGGTATTGAATCTTTTGGATGACTGCTGTAAGTATGTTCTGGATTTCCTTTTCATATTTCTCTGTGTACTTTGAGCCTATAATACCTTGTCACATTGCTGACTCTTTAAATTAGTTCCTGTAATTTTGACGTTGAGTTTTGGGCATTGTATACATATAGGACATTCGATACAATACAGAATGAAGTAGTGCCAAAGAACATCCTCGCCTGATTTCTGATTTCCATTCACAAAGAGAATGCTTTTAGTCTCTCTAAGACTAATACTGACCATTAGTTTGGTATCTATACCCTTAATTAGGTTTATGAATTTCCCTTCTGTTATTATTTTGTTGACTATTTTTAGCAGAAGTGAGTTGGGGTTTGACAACTTTTTTTTCTGCTTACATTGACTGACTGTATGAATTTTTCTTTGCTTTATTTATATGGTGGAGTTCATTAATTGCTTTTCTGTCATTGATCCATTGTTGCATACCTACTATAATTGCGTCATTGCAACACAAGTGGCAGAATTTAAACTTAATGGCGTGAGAAATTTTACTCTATAGAGTTTTGAGGCTTTCATTGTAGTCATTAAGGAAGTCTTATAAAGAAAAATGTCGATACAAAGTTAAAGTAACTTCTAGTACAGAACCGTAGGAGTGCTCAGGGTTAGGCTTTGGGCTGCTAACACCAAAATTAGTGATTCATATCCATCAGCTGCTCCTTGAAAGAAAAATGCAGCTTTCTTCACTGGTAAAGATGGATCGCCCCAGATAGCCTACATCAGATGTCTGAGTTGGAATTGACTCAATGTTAGCGGATTTTTTCTTTAATAAAAGCACACGATTTGAGGTATTGCTATCCAGTGTACTTTGATATGCTATATTGTTACCACTTTTAGCATAAAAGATACATAATTTCAAAAACCCTCGTTTGTTTTGTGAATGTATTCATTCATAGCTTATATAAATTAGACTCTAGTTTTATTTGGTAGGTGGGTAATCAACATATAGATTTTAATCAAATGAATTTTATTTCAGAGGAAAAGGAAACATCAGTAGAAACAGATCAATCTGTTGTTTTTTTATGACCTACAGCACTCTATACACACACACACACACATCCTTTTTTGTTTTTCTGGGAATCTTACTTTTGGTAAGTTGGTGTGATCTAATAACTGAACTATTTTGACGAATCTAGGTACTGAAGAAGCCATCATGTTTGGTGTATCAGAGGGGCAGCAAAGGAGGGAGGAAGGCCCTCCAGGAGATGTTGATGCTGGTTACAGCGCGTGGCTCAAGAATAACAACAATTGTGAGGCTGGCACAGGGCTGTGCAGGGTTTCATTCTGTTGTACATTGGGTCGCTGTACGTTGGCTCCCAGCAACAACAATAAACATGCGTAGCTTGACTCCACGACAAATAAATCTAATGTGTATATAACTCATTCCTACTTTTCAATTTTCAGAGGAAGAAGAGAAAAATAGAAAGTATTCTCCTGAAGAAATTCAGAAAAAGAGACAAGAGGCATTGGTTCGAAGAATGGCCAGAGCACGAGCAACTTCCCTAAATGCCGCTTCCACTTGATTTCTCTAATGAAATATTGGTTGGAAGATATAACAAAGACTGTTAATAACTATCTGTGATAGGACAAAATGTTTTTCTCAATTTCTCTGTGAGAAAGTTAGTGCTGAATTATAAAGCTTAGAGTTCTACTTTACAAGGTATTTAATCAATCAATGTTTATAATAGTCAATAGTCAGATATAAGTGAAAGGAATTACTTGTAAGTTTTTGAAATCCATGAAAATCAGCCACTATGTACTAGAATTTACAGATGGCAGTGATTTTATTTTTAAATACTAAGATTGCAGAGGGGCCACAGAAGGTATGCCGTTTAGATACTTCTTTATCGTAACAGTCTTTTCCTAATAGCTTACTAATGGACACTCCTTTCCATAACGGTTCTTGTTTTAGTTTTTGTACATTGATGCATTTCTGAAGTTTAATTAATGCTACCATGGATGGTGGAAAATAAGGACTTAATCAGTGATAACAAAATTACTTATTTAGTATTTTAATATTTGTGTGATATATTTTGAAAATCTTCCAACATTTTTTTGGGAAAATACTCATTTAAGACAACTAGTTTAGAGAAGAGGAAATAGATTGCCTTTATAAGTAATATGTCATTAACATTCAGAACTTTGCATTTTTCTCTTTAATTAGTTTACTGACTTTACTAAATTTTTTTTCTCTATTTCCCCTCTTCCCGATGCCCATTTTCCTAAACAGAAAAATTTTGTTACTCCAAATGACTTTGGAAGAAAATTATAAATGGGAAATACTTATTCTATCGTGGTGTTTACCACTATTCAGGTACCTTATTTTGTTAATCTTTTTTATTTTTCTATGAATATGTAATAACTTCAATAAATAGAGGAAATATTTTAGGTAAGAAAATGAACTGAGACCCTTTTATCTTTACCTAAAATTTATCTTTCCTGTCTTGTCCATTCATTAATACCCAGCCTCATAAGTTTCCATTTCTTTGAAACTGTTACCTGAACATCTATCTGGATTTCTTCTCTGTAATTTTGATGGTATTTATTCTTTATATGAAGGCGCCTTCAAAATATTTGAGGAAAAAGATAATAGAATTATTCCACGAACATTTTGAAACGTGTTATTTATAGGGCAATCTATGTGTTGTTATATGTTGTTTAGTTAGTTATAATTGTCTTATAAATAGTAGTGTTTCTAAAAGTTGTCACGTGGTATCTGATTATTCTGCTGTGCTCTCATACAACCTGTACTGTTAATTATGCAATCGTTTCCTTACCAGTGGTAACCTTTTTCTTTAAAAGGAAACTTGATTATCTAGCATGTTGCATAGTGAATGGCGGAGTCCTGTGGTGCAGTGGTTTTTGTTTCACATGAGGTGTAAGCCAGACTGAAAGCTGTAGTCTTTGAATCCTATTCAATTTCAGTAAATATCATCTGCATACCAGCTTATAATGAGTTTTCTTCTAATCCTGATGCCAAGTTCTTATGGTGCAACATTTTGAGTGCAGGTGACAATAATGATGATACCAGATAATTCTTATGTTCTTTTAATTCCTATATTCTACAAGATGGACAGAAATGCAGACCTCGTGAAGTCGGTCTTCCAGTTTTCTTGGTGTGGATATGTGAGTGCCTTCCGCACTCCAGTTTCCACAAACTGGAAACATTTGTTGATGTTCCCCCAGTACCTGGGGCTTGTGTCATAGGCTGGGTTCTCCAGAGAAGCAAAAACAGTCACACACATGCGCACGCATACACCCGTCGAATATACACACACATACTAGAAACTGACAGCACGGAAATGGCTCACTCAGCTTTCAAAGTGCGTTAAGTTCAGTCCCAAGTTGAGGACGGTTCTGAATCCATGAGTAAGATGTTAATGGGAAGTTTTTTCCTGACTCAGATATTCTCGGGGACACAGGAACTCAAGATCTGCAGGAGAAGCACTTGTAGGCTTGTGCCTACAAAAGAGAAAGAGTCCAAGGTTGGCAGAGTGCCGATGGCTTCTGGGTATGGCAGGCCATTAGCTCAAGTCTGGAGAACCAGAGGTCAGTGAGACATACAGGACGCAGATCCAAAGAAAAAAGTTTTTTCCACAAGGTCTACTTATATATTAAATAGGAGACACCCTGTTGAAACTTCCTTTTAATTGCACCAGGGCTGTGACCTGAGTAACGGAGGTTGTTTTCCATTAAACTGATTGGCAGGTCACTGCAGATCCCATTATGGGGTAGATTACACCATGTTAGGTCACATGGGAGCTTACTAGGATTTAACTGCCCAGTAATCCTGAGCAGAAAACTGCCTTAATTGAGAATTCTGGTCCAGCCCAGGTGACAGAGCACTGCCTATCACCCCTTGTCTTTTTCCAATGCCTTCCGTACAGGTTGGACTTCTGTTCCACTGGTTCTTGATTATATGCTACCTCCGGAAGCAGTTGAATGTCATCAATTTGGTTACGTGACTTTTTGCTGCTCCTCTTGATGCGTCTTCTGATACTTTGTCCATAAACCCAAAACCCACTGCCATTAAGTTGATTCTGATTGATAGCAACCCTATATAGGACTTCTGAAACTCAATCTTTACAGGAGCAGAGAACATCATTCGTCTGCTGAGGAGTAGGTAGTAGGTTTGAACCACTGATGTAGTGGTTAACAGCTCAACACTTAACCCATTACACCACCAGGATTCCTTTCAGTTGATTGGAACAAGGCTGTAATCTGAATTAGGATGTTGCATCCCACCTTAATCTTTTTATACGTGATTGCTCATAGCAGGTCTCTATGGAGGTGACTACATTATGTTAGATCACATCTCAGATGATTCCAAACCTTGGAGTCAATACTGACAACACCCCATAGGACAGGGTAAACTGCTCTTGGGGGTTTCTGAGACTATAACTCTGCACAAGAATAGGAAGCCTCATGTTTCCCATAGGCAGGAGGGAATGAGTGAGGAGGAGTATTGGATGCAGTTAATCAGCCTGGCTGTCAACTAGAGGAACTATTCTATAGCCCTAAGGGCGGTTCAGGGTGGTTAAGGAAGGAGCACCTTCCAAGCCAGGGTAGCCTCTGACAGCCCGCTTTCTCAGGACTGCTTTCTGCCACTCAGCTGAGGGAGAACTCAAGCCCCCAGGAGTGTGGTGGTGATGGCCAGTAGCCAGTGCCTGCGGTGTGAACCGCAAATGTAACTGCGTGCTGGGTGAGAATAGAGGCTGGTCACTCCTCTGGTCACCAGAAGGCTGGGGAACAAGAGGGTTTCCACCTTTCTCGTTATCAGCCAATTATATCTCAAAGCTGTCTTAAAAACAGTTGATGGCCGGGTAGAATTTGAAACCAATGAATTTTAATATTTTGGCGTATTAAAATCAGTTGTTCTATATCTTTTTGAAAAATCATCTTACTGAGGAATCTTACAGCTTTAATAACAATCTATACATTAATATTTTTAACCCATGTGTGAAATATCATAATGTAATGGTCACTTGGAAAATACTGATTCACTGAGCTCTGGTTGTGCAGTGGGTAAAGTCAGTGGTTCAAACAGCTATGTGTGAGAAAGATGTGGCAATCAGTCTACTTCTGTAAAGATTATAGTCTTGAAAGCCCACAGAGCAATTCTCCTCCTTCACACAAGTTCGCCCAGAGTTGGGATGAACTCGAGGTGTACAGAACTTCTATACTGGCACATTTTATTAAGCAGTCAGTTTTTTTTGCTACTTAAAGGCAGATGTGGTGAAGCTATCATATATATGGTGGCTACTGCCAGTTTTCAAAAATTCTTTTTGCTTGAAAGTTTGAACTTTATCATTAACCAAAAAAGAACTTCCATTGCTTTCTTTGAAGTGACAGGCTAACTTTGTTAAATTTTGAGAAAATATCTGCCACATAGCTACGTTTGAATTTATCATTCTTTTTTTTTTTTTTTAGGCAGTGAGTGACTGAGACAGTGATTGAGTGAGTTAGAGAGTGAGACCATGAGCAAGTGAGGGAGTGAGTGAGAGTGAGTCAATAAGTGAGTTAGTGAGAGTGAGGCAGTGAGACAGTGAGCGTACCAGTGAGTGAGAGAGTGTGTCAGTGAATGAGAGTGAGGCAGTGAGTTAATGAGCTAGTGATTCAGTAAGAGAGTGAGCGAGTGAAGGAGTGAGTGAGAGAGAGACAGGGAGCCAGTGAGAGAGGGTCTGTTAATGAGAGTGAGACTGAGTGAGAGAGACAGAGTGAGAGTGAGGCAGTGAATGGGAGACAGAGAAACAGGGAGTGAGTGAGTCAGTGAGACAGTGAGCGAGTGAGACAGGGAAAGTGAGTGAGAGAGTGAGCCAATGAGCTAGTGAGGCAGTGCATGAGTTAGATATTGAGTGACTGAGATGGAGAGAGTGTGTCAGTGAGTGAGAGTGAGACAGTGAGCCAGGGAGTGAGTTAGACATTGAGAGTGGGACAGGGAGCGAGTGAGCCAGTGAGTGAGTGAGTCAGGTCAGTGAATGAGCGTGAGACGGAGTGAGTTAGACAGTGAGCAAGTGAGTGTGTCAGTGAATGTGAGAGAGAGGGAGAGTGAGCCAGTGAGTTAGGCAGTGAGTGACTGAGACAGAGAGAGTGAGCCAGTGAATGAGAGTGAGCTAGTGAGAGAGAGGGAGACAAGGAGAGAGTAAGGGAGTGAGAGAGAGTGAGTTAGACAGTGAGACGGAGTGAGTGAAGCAGTGAGAGAGTGTGTCAGTGAGAGGGAGTGAGAGACCATGAGCAGGACAGAGAGTGAGCAAGTGAGACAGGGAGCTAGTGAGACAGTGAGTGAGACAGGGAGGCAGTAAGTGAGACAATGAATGAGAGAGAGGGAGTCAGACAGTGGGACAGGGAGTGAGTTAGAGAGAGACTGTGAGTGTGTCAGTGAATGAGAGTGAGGCAGTGAGAGAGACAGAGGGAGACAGTGAGCAAGTGAGACTGAGTGTGAGAGTAAGCCAGTGAGACAGGGATACAGTAAGAGTGAGAGTGTCAGTGAATGAGAGTGAGACAGGGAGTGACAGAGACAATAAGCTAGTGACCAAGTGAGTGAGCAAGTGAGTCAATGAGCTAGTGAGACAGTAAGAGTGAGCGAGGCAGTGAGCAAGTGAGACAGAGAGTGAGTCAGAGAGAGAGAGTCAGTGAGCAAGTAAGAGGGAGAGGGAGTGGGACAGGGAGCCTGGAGGACGAAGGGAAGGTGGGGTAGAAAGGGGGAACCAATTACAAGAATCTAAGTACTGCCTCCCTGGGGGATGGGCAGTAGAGAAGAGGGCGGAGGGAAACATCGGACAGGGTAACTTATGACAAAACTATAATAATTTATGATCTATGAGGGAGGGGGAGAATGAGCAACTGATAATTAGGGGCTAGAGTGGGAGGCAAATGTTTTGAGAATGAGGAGGGCAACAAATATGCATATGTGCTTGACACAATGGATGTATGTGGTGTGGATTGTGATGAGAATTGTACGAGCCCCCAATAAAATAATTTAAACAAAAAAAGACAAGGGGCTTGCAGAAATCCTGGTGCCTTCTAACAGCTAATTTAAAGTTTTCTGTGCATGTCCTCTATGAATGAATAAATTCTATGAAGCTAGGATAACACTGATACATAAAGTGGGCAAGGATTCCACAAGAATTGGGAACTACAGACTGATAGCTCTAATGACTCATCCACCTCTGGGTCTTTGGACTTGAGCTAACAGCTTGCCATATAGCCTACCTTGTATTCATTTGCCTTTGCATCCACCGGCCTATCGCAATCCTGCCAACTTTATCTTCATCAGCTCCAACACAAATTGTCAGGAGACACCTCCATAGACTTAGAAGTTGATAGAATTTGGACTTGCTCACTTCTACCCCATGTGAACAATTTTCTTGGCGAAGATTTATATAGAGAGCGTCATAGATAGGCTCCACTGGTTTTGTTTCTTTGAAGAACCCAGTTATAATACCAGGTAACACCTTCTATTTGAGAGTCCCTGGTTTACACTCTCAACTGCTAATGGGAACACTGAAAAATATTTTCCTTTGGGGGCATGAAGACTATAGGTATTTCTTCTCAATATGAACAAAGGTAATATTCTTTGAGTGTTAAAAATATTAGAAATGATCACATAATTTATGCTGTAATTTAAGGTGTAATAAACCATATCATCTAGAAGTATTAGATTTTACAACAATTTTCATAAGATAAAATGCCTATGTAATTTTAATCAATTAATACATATATAAAAAACTTAGAATTTCAAAATCTAACATATCCAGTATTTCATCCAGCTAAAACAGGATTATGCAGAAATTACCAATCATTTAAAGTAAATTCTAAATTCAATTAGGACTTGTTGTGTTTGCTTAAGTCCTCATTTTCAGTTCTCTGCTGATACAATTCTTGATGCGAGCAGAGCAATCACTGATTTGCTTCCATGTAAATATAACTCCACATACATTCAGAC